CTGCACTTCAAAATTATTCTAATTCAGCTTCTTGGCAACCTGGAAAAGAGAAAGATTATAGGAGAAGTTTATTCAGATATACATCTTTCTACACTACATGGCAATGGAGAATATTTTGGAGATGCATGGAGTGGTTTCACAGGTAGGATTTGACCTGCCACATGCATGGTTCATTTATAATTGATAATCCCAAATTACAGGTTCAATTTGTTAACCAATATGGGCAAGAAAATCAAATCAGAAAAACAGCTCTTTAAACACGTCCTTAATAATACCTGAAATAGTAATAGTAATATTTGAAACATCTCAACAATATCTGAAAGAAAAATAAGAGACATAAATTTGATAAACCATGTTGAAGGTCTTTTGTTGACGTAGTGAAAATATTGATGGAATATCAGAAAGTGAAATGAGATAATTTTCCAATACTGAATGTGTTCACTTTATAATGGGACCTCTTTCTAGTGGGGAAACATATAGAAATAACTTTAAGAATGTTTTATCCAGTGACTAGCAAGTAATTAGATCTGCTGTATGCAAAGAGAATTAACTCCCGATTTGTAGTCTAAAAAGATGAATTTCTTGAAGAAGTCAGTTACAAGCCAATAAATGAGCAAAAAAAGTCTTTAACATTGAATGGTTTTACCACTGAAGAGAAATATAGATCAGACAATATAGCAAAAGCTTTTCTTTTGCCCATTGGACAATTAAGTTTGGACAAGTGAAATATCAACAACAGACATATGACAAATTATCAGTGAGAAATTTTACAGCCAGAAATACTAAGGAGAAAGAGAAATTAAAAAAATATATTTTGAATAAAAATTAATCCTAGAAAAATGATAGGATTGTTATTAGAAGAGAACAGTTGAAATTGTCAATAATGATTCAGAACATAATGTGGTCATCATGTATGCATAATATGGTTCCATCCTAGTCAGGAATGTAATATGCTTTTGCCTAAAATAATATGCAAATAATTTTTCATACATGAGTACTTTAAAAAGAAATTATTACTGGTCTGCCTGAACATTTAATGTTGCTATTCAGAAAACAGGAGGATGCTAAGGAAGTATTAAAAACATGGATAAAGCTAGGGTTACATTTGAACAACAGAAAAATATGATCTTGGTTATATAATTCTATCTATGCTGGAATCACTAACAGGTAAAACAACTGAAGGCCTGGTATGTGATGCCATCAATACAGAAAATGATTGTGTAATTAGTGACAGTGAGCATGTCAAATTGGGCTGGGTAAAATTGTTGAATATGATTGATAAAGATGACTACACTGACATATCCTTCTGTAAAGCAACAGACACACAGCAGTATATCAATCTAATTAGAGTGATTAGCATTATACAAAATCACTATAACACGTAATAATTAATTAAAAGCCAGCTAAATAGAAGATCTGCAAAAGTAACCATAAACAGCTAATCATCATCCCCTGGGTAATCTGGAGGAATTCATATAGTTCTGTTCTTTTTCATAAGCGAGTTCTTCCCAACGTGTGGCTGGTGCCAGGACTCCGCCACCCCACCCCACACCTCTGCAGTGCTCAGCTGGCTGGTGCTGCTCCAGTTGCTCAGATCCCTGCTGGGAGCTGGCACAGACTGTTTGCTGAACTGGGCATATGCGACGGCACTAGCACCAGTTCCCTTGGCCTGGTTTGGCATCCTGAGAGCTGAATGCCTCCCTGACATGAAGTGGAATGAGCTATAAACATACCCTTGATACCGCTGCCTTGGGGGATTGAGCCCCACATTTTAGAAAATGCTGTCCTCGGCTACTACATAAATTTATGAGTGATCCGAAGAAATATTTAACAGCATTAACTGTAAAATTTATAGATGACATCAAATGCATAAAGCACTAAATAATGCAAATAAAAACCAGCTTTTCTATAGGGAAATTGACATCCTTTAGTAAGCCAGGATCATTTGAACATGCTTTTTGAGACAGCTGAATGCAAGGTCATTCAGTAGGAACAAAGAATGTAGGTCACGTTTAGAAGACTGGAGACAGTGTCCTGGAAAGCAGTGACTCTGAAAAGGATTTAAGGGTCACAGTGGTTAGCCATCTAAAGAGAAGCTCCCAGAACAATGTTCTAAGGCATTTGGTATAGCCTTCAGATACAGGAGTGTTGAGTGGTGACATAACTGTATCCAATTCTAGTTTGACAAAAGTGCTTAAAAATTACAAATGTTCAGAAGAGCACTGCTGGAATACTGTTAGATCTGAAAGTCTTGATTAAGAATAACAGAGATGAGAAGTCCAAGTTACTTATTTTATCCAAAGTGGGATTAAGAAGTGACTGTTTTGTGGTTAATAAAGATGCATTACAAGGGCTCAGGAAACGCAATACTTCAAAGTCTGTCCAACAAGGAAAGATAATTTTGTACTAGCAAAACTATGTTTTGTTAACAGGGTGACTATATTAAACTCTATTAAATTTTATTTAAGCTTTATTTCTATTTAGAGTGGCATTGTTTTAATTTGAGAACAAACAAATGGAAAAAGCTAAAGAAAAACATATTTTAAAGTGCTTTAAAAAGAAAAGCACTGTAAGCATGCTTGACGGAAGCAATCAGACTGTACACTATAGTGTTGTGTCTTCATGTTAGACACAAAACTGCAAATGAACAAAACAACACATTTTAAAAGATATTTTCCTACCAGGTTTATACTTTTTAATTGATTTATATTGTATTCTTTTCTTTGCTTTTAAATATAATTGGAGTGAAGATCTTCCTTGAACATCTGTGAAATATTTTGCACACTTAGGCTAGACGTAAATAATACATGTTAGAGAGATGTAAACACCAATGGGAGAAATAAATTATGTACGTGAACACGGGGCACTATAGCTAAAGTAATGAGTTGAAACATAAGAAACTTCCATTAACCTGATCATCAGAAAAAAATTCCTTATAACTGGAAGAATTCAACTTCGAAGAGATGTCTCCTTTGGGAAGAAGAAGCCCCATTACTCGAGACATTTAAAATGAACTGGACAAAATAGCAGTGAAAAATGTTAAAGAGCAATCCTTTGTCAGAACCATGATAGTATTTTCCATCTCTAATCTTTGTGATCTCCTGGTTTTTCTTATAATTTAAGATGGTCATGAATATTTTACTTGACTGTCGACCTACAAAAGAAGTGGTTTAAAGACTAGAATTTTGTTACAAGACTATCAGAATTATTTTTAAATTAGTTTCCATTCTCCCATCGGGTGTACCGACATAACTAATATCACTGTATCGGTTACGGTTAAACAGAGACCAAGAGGTTTTCAAAAACAATAGACTAAAAAGCAATGTAGCTGTTGAAATACTCAGTGTGGGGGTGCTCCTCTTCTAGGATCTTGCATCTGAAAAACAACAGCCTTTATAGTAAAGTGACTCTGCACCCATTGACCATAAACCAAGAATTAAGTTCCTTAGAACAAGATCTACAAATACTAAGCTAGGTGGTAAGAGCGTGCTGAGGATAGAGTGGTACATTGAATTCTGAATCTTTTTGATGTTCAGGTATTTTAATGCTGTTACTTCCTTGAGCAGAGGTTTTTCTGAAGGTTTTAGGTGCTCATTTCCCTTTCAAAAAAAAACCTAACCTAATAAAAAAAGTGTAGCCAGAAGACTCATGTCTCTGCTCTATACTTTAGTGATTAAAGAACTTCTCCAGGATGATGAAGACAGAGAACAATTAGTTTTTCTCCTTTAGGGAATCTCCTGTCTCCTAAGAGCCTATATGTGGACTACTCAAGGGGAAAAAGGAAAGACAGGGTGTGCTCCTTTCCTTTCTTCTTTTGAGCCTCTTACACTTTTTGTAGACTGAAGGCTTCATTTGCCTTCAGACAGATTAAGCAGGAGCCTCTATTCTGATTAGAGGAATAGATGGGAGCAGGGCACCCTGGGCTTAAGTCCCTGCTCCACTGATTGTCTCTGGATTTATGGACATAAAACATATAAATTGTCCGTAATACAGACACACAAATCCATCTTTTGTCCTTCCCAAATGAATGCCATAAACCACGAGGTTATAGACTAATTCCCTCTCTCTGATCTAATGCATTTTTAATTCTTTCAAAGTGTAGCAGCTTCAACAGAAGGGACAGACTGTGTTTTCTTCCCTTCCATGTCCCCCTGGACCATGCATGGGCTGTTTACCTGACAAAAACAGAGTTGAAGTCTTTGTTGCACAAACAACAAACCAGATCCTTCACCTCGAGAATGTTTTAACCACTGAGATTTTTACATTAAAGTGAAGAACAACCAAGCCTGTGAGTAGAAAGCACCAGCTATGGCTGAATTTTTGTGTGGAGATTGCCTTAGCAAACATGCTCCAAGACCGGAGGGGCTAAGGCCATAAGAGGAGTGACTCAGTCAGATGAAGCCTGAGATGCCCTCGGGCAAATACAGCTTCTGGGAAATTTAAGGATAAAAACTCTAGCAACTGTGGATGTTAGTCACCTCCAAGGTCAGCTGTAACTAAGCAAGTGGTGTGAATAAGCATGGCTTCACTGGTTTTCATACCTAAATTCCACATCAGTCCCACCTTCAGCACCCAAACCCTGTCATGGGGCTTTGGGGACTGAAGGCGAGCTTCATGGAAATGTCAACTCACACATTTGGTAAAATCACTTCTCAAGGCGTTTTTTGGACGCCGGGTCAGCTGGCCCCGCCAGGCACGGCCCTGCCTCGGGCACCGGCATCTTCCGATCGGGCATGTCTCGCTGGCCGGGTCTCCCCGGGGCGGAGGGAGGCGCCGGGCTGGCGGCTACCCGCGGTGCGACCAGAAATTCCGCCCCAGGAGAGCCTGCTGGTCCCGGGAGGGCTACCCTGGCACCCGCGCTCCGCGGGCAGGGCGCGCTGCCCAGAGCGGCTCCAGCGCCGATGGAAGATCGGGGCCGCAACCGGAGGGAGACAGAGAGGGGGAGAGAGCGGCGGCGGCGCCGCCCTCTGGAGTGCGCCTGGGAGAGGCTGGTGTGAAGAGCCGCATTTCAATGAGGGCCGGGCTAATGCAAATCACTGCAACCGGCAGCAGCAGAAGAAAGGCGAAGCAGCTGCAGCCCGGGCTCCCCAGCAGCGCGCTACAGCCAGGGGAGGCGTAACAAAGGCAGTGGAGCCGCTTTCTGCGGCAACTCCTGCGCCTGCAGCCGGGTGGTCGCCGGGGGGAGGGGGGAGCCTCCGCTCCTTCGCCGCTTCCCATTCCGAGCCGCCGCCTTCCCTCCGCGCCCCGCCGGCAGGTCTGAGCGAGGAGGTGCCCGCCAGGCTGCGGAGAACAGGTAAGGACCGGGGCCGTCCCTGCCCTCTCTCTCCTGCGCGGGGGCTGCGGCGTGCGGGGCCGCCGGGGCGCGGTGGCCGGCGGTGCGGGGCAGTGCGGTGTGTGCACCTGTGCCCATTGTGCGGGGCGGCGGCCTCGGCCGACACCGCGGCGCTGGCCCCGGGCGGCCCCGCGTGTGCCGGTGCGTGTGCGGGGGCGCGGGTACCCGCCGCCGCCTCCCCTCTCTGCGGCATCCCGGCCGGATGGCCCCTGGATGGCCCCGGCAGCCCGGGGAGCGGGCGCGGTGCTCCCCCGTGCGCCCCCGGCTCGGTCACCGTGCGGGTCACGCCGCGCACAGCCCGCGGCGGGGCTGGAGTGCTTGGTGCCACCTCGAGCGGGCTGGGGGTATTTCAAACACGTTTCCCATACCCCGGCATTATAAGCCCCTTTTTCATTCGTGAAATGCTGCCGCATTTATCCACGTTTCCCGGTTCCCCCCTCCCCCCAGTGACTAGTAGTCGTCCTGCTGCTTAGTATCTGTGTGATCTGCACTGGGTCCCAGTCACATCGCTGCGTGATGTATTTTTTTTTTATCGGCATGTGTGTTTGTTTCATGGAAATGCTCACCCACACCTGTATTATAAATAATTCTTTAACAGATGTTAGGGTGTGAAGTGTTGGGCATGGTGGTTTTCCAGGGGTGTGTCCGTTCGTTTTTCCGTATCTGCCTGTATACGACTATATATCTATACACACACAAACGGAAACATCTGATCAGATCAAATTGTTTAGGATTTCTTTGTCTGCTCTGACCTTGTGGTTTAACACGCTTTTCTGTAAATAGCAGGAGTGTGGTGTTAAAGGAGAGCTCTATTTCTGTTTTAAAGGGCGAAATTGGGAATTACAGGCGCTATTGATTAAAGCATAAGCGTGCAGAAGAAAGGGCAGTGACTCACACTTCTTCCTTCTCTCATTCAAAATAGGTAAAGCTGAAAGCCTCTTAAGAAAGTGTATATCTTCACCGAAACTTCCTTTTTTTGGTTTTGTTTTGTGTGTGTGTGTGTTTGAGATGGTTTGAGCAAAGGAAGCAGCAGACCAAGGAAAAATCCATTTTTCTTGGCACAGGCATCATTGCTTTTGAGATACTATTTCTGAATTGTGCATTATGGGATTGTTTAAATCTGAATAAGAGGTTCTCATTGTAATTGAAAATGAATTAAAACAAGTGACATCATTTTTTGAACATGGAAACAGAGGCGGTACAATCTTGATCCTAAGCTGTGGCCACTAAGGTATATTTGTATTTAGCCTGTAAAGAAACATCAACAAAATGCTACAGCAAACATTCTTGTTCATTTCAATTAAGTGGGGTGTATGGGAAAAACATAGATTAGTCTTTTTTCTTATATATATAAGAAAACACAAACATATACTGCACCATGTATTTATTACGTGCCTTTACAGTATTTCCAGGTATAAATCCTGCATATACACATAAGCATATGATCCTGTGCCAGTGTAATAAAATAAGTTGTGAGCTGTAACCAAAGCAGGGTAAATAATTTCCACCAAGGCCCTGCATTTGCAGTGGTTACCTTTAGGTGCTTGTGCTAGTCAAGCACATGAGCTGCTCTGAGAAGTTGCTGAGCAAATCCACTACAGCTTTGCAGCATCAGGGTCCAGTTGTATAATCATTAGTTTCATACGAACTTCTGTAAGCCAAAGAACAACTGTAAGTTTTTGTGTATTTCCTCCCACTGTTTTACAACTGGTCTGAATACAATTTTTTTCTTAATGGTCACATCATTATGAGTGGTTGAAACAAAGCTAGTGCTTGCCATTTTTTGTCTTTTTATTGGAAATCAATCAGAGAGGCCACTTCTAAATTAGGTCTATGTATCTGTGCTATAAATAAACTTACTGTGCTTTGCTGTTCTGCAGACAACTGCAGATCTAGGTGGCTCTTAAAATAAATGTGTTTTGAACCTAGTGATTTTTTGATAATTCTTTTTTTTATTTTATTTTTTTACTTCTATTTGTGAAGATTAATGTGCTCTTTGTAGAATTTAGTCTTGTGTTGGCTGTAAAAAGGAACAGAAGTATTTTCCTCTTTGGTTTCTTCTCAGAACATGTGAACGTCTATTTATGTGAACTGTATTGAACAACTGGGATTGTTTTGGTCGGGGCTGATGGGTTTTTCTCATTGTCAAGCGTGGGAGGCACCAATTGCTAATCTGCCCAATGACACTGATTTTATCCCTCCTTTGGTAATGGCAAAAAAAAGATATCAGCCTTAATCAATTTGAATATTAGACTTAGGATGTCAATAATACATCTTGCAAGTCTTACAGAGCACTAAAGTAGCTTTCTCATTGAAAAATACTAGTTTCCTCTCTACCCCAATATATTTTTTCTTTAATTTCATGCCAGTTGAGCCCTTCTGTTGGTTTAGAGTGTGTAAAGCATTTGCACAGGGACAACTGAAGTAATTTATTACAAAGCTTAGGCTGTAAGGAAACCAATGGTTGAATATGCAGGGACTTAACAGTGGGATTGACCCACTAAGTGATAGTCCCGATTCTCATTGCCAACCTGCGAGATCTATTCCTCTGAAAAGTTCTTAATTGCTTATTTATTGGCAACTGGCTGCCCTTCTGAAACAACACCTCTTGATACAGAAGTTGGAACAAACAGTTCAGTGGGGGCAAGCTGTCTAGAAGGTAGACTAGACTCAAATAGCACCTGAATATAACATGAGAAAAAGTAGAAAGTTGATGCGTTTGTTCCTTTTTTCCAGTTGCTCAAGTTCATCACCTCATTTTCAGAGTTACTGAATTTGAACAAACACTTCTAATGTTTTCATATCACTAGCAGTTTGGTTTGATGAGTCATCTTTCTATGGTGTACAAAAGTCTAACTTATAATAGTTTTATGGCATGTGTGAAAGGACCATGTGAATATAGCATGGTTTTATTCAAACATTCTTCTCAACCTAGAAAGTAGTCCTCTGTAATGTACAGTCCTCTGTAATGTAATATAGTCTCAAAGTGAGCTCCCTTAAAATGTCTTAAGTTTCTTTTTCTCTTCTTTTGTGCATCCCTTAGGTTGAACTTCAAGATGTCCCTTGGGAGAGATATGGAGCTGGAGCATTTTGATGAGCGTGATAAAGCGCAGAGATATGGCAGAGGGTCCCGGGTAAATGGTTTACCCAGCCCTACTCACAGTGCCCACTGCAGCTTTTACCGAACCCGTACTCTACAGACCCTGAGTTCCGAGAAAAAAGCCAAGAAAGTTCGTTTCTATCGTAATGGAGACCGGTATTTCAAAGGGATTGTATATGCCATCTCCCCTGACCGGTTTAGATCCTTTGAAGCTCTCCTGGCTGATCTGACCCGAACTCTGTCCGACAATGTGAATCTGCCCCAGGGAGTGAGAACAATCTACACAATTGATGGCTCCAAGAAGATTACCTCCTTGGACCAGCTAGTAGAAGGTCAGCAGTAAGATTTGGAGGTGTAAAGTTGAGTCAGTGTTCGTTTAATCCGTTAAGTCTTTCAAAAATAGGTAATGGTATTGTTCTTATTGATAAAGGAAGGATCTTCAATGGTCTGAGTAGAATTGTGAATATCTTAAATTATGCCTTGAAATATTATTGCCTTGCCATTTATCTCCCTCTTGTTGAATGTGTCTGACCTTTTCCTGTCTCTTAATCTAGTGTTGGTAGTCCTAGATGCAACAGAATGTATCTGTTCCTTCTTTTTTTTAAACATGCAAGTTCAAATGCCAATGAGAGTTTAGTCTGTTAAACTTCACAAGGTCTGTGGTGCTAATGAAACCTATGTGAATTTCAGATGGATTTTTATTTTTTTTAAGTCTCTCTGTACCTTGTGAAGAGCTCCAACTCTTCCCTACCAGTAAATATGCCTTAAGTAAAATATTAGCCTCTCATGGAGTGGCATAAATGTTGGCAGCCTGTTAAAAGAGTAATATTGTAGCCATTGTTCAGCTGGGGTAGATCTCAAACTTTTCTCCCCTCTGGCGTTTCCCTTCTCCTCTTACCCAGTCATAGAATTGTTAAGGTTGAAAAAGACCTTTAAGATAATTGAGTCCAACCGCTAACCCAGCACTGCCAAGTCCATCACTTAAACCATATCCACTAAGTGCCGTATCTGCGCATCTTAAATACCTACAGGGATAGTGGCTCAACCACGTTCCTGGGCAGACTCTTCCAATGCTTCACAGCCCTTTCTGTGAAGAAATTTTTCCTAATACCCAATCTCATCCTTCCCTGGCACAACTTGAGGCCATTTCCTCTTGTCTTACTGCTTATTAACTTGGGAGAAGAGGATCAACACCCACCTTGCTACAACCTCCTTTCAGGTAGTTGTGGAGATCATTGCATTATTTGTTAATAAGTCTCATGTACCTGCAGTATAAAGTATTATTGGGGTCCCTTACAACTTGGCATATTCTGTGTTTCTGTGGTTCTTGGTGACAGTCAAACGTCAGACATGCCAGTTGTTAATTTGCCCATTAACACTGAATTCATCACTCCTTCAGTGATAGTTTTATTGGCAAAAGAAGCTGTCAGCATTAATCAATTTAAATATTAGGCTTAGAAAATTAATAATACTTTTCACGAGTTTTAAAAGTAACTAGAGTAGCTTTTCCAACGTAAAGTGCTTCTGGCTTGTAATGGGTTTCTAGTATAAAACATCAGAATGTACAAGGTATGAAAGCATTAACTTTCATAATGTCACATGGCCATAAATGAGATGGTTTCTTATCTGTAAAGTTTAAGTGCAGGTGCTTGACTGCGTTCAAAGAAAATAGAGGTGGAATCACTGTTTCTTCCATTCTACCCGTGGCTCTAGTGTGCCATGGGCAAACTTGTAAAGGATGAATATATAGCCGCTGGACAACCAATTTAGAGTTGTAGCAGAGATTGTAATTTCTTTGTGATTTCAGTTTTTAGCACCAGGAGAGAGAACTTGCAGAATCAAGATGTAATGAGAGCCTTCTGTAATCAGAAGGTGGCTAATGTGGAGAGAGAAGAAAAGGGAATGCCAAATAAGGTTACTGAAAGAGGAGCACATCCTTGCATAGCAGGTGTTCAGCCACCATTGAGCTGTCTCCTTTTTATGTCATAGCAGAGGAAAGCTTTTTAAGGAGAAGTTTTGAGAAGCAGATATTCTTGGCAATCTTCCTTGTGTGAAAAGGAAAGTAGGAGACAATATGAAGATGCTCCAGAAAAAAAATTTAAGGGGTGGGAGTAAGGAGTTTAGGGGTTAGGACCAGATGTTTAGTGAAATGGAAAGGAAACCAGTCTTAAGAGCAACGTTATGAATTTGAGGGCAGAGTTTAAAACTATATTTGTCAGGACAGAATTTAATTGGTGGAGAAAATCAATTTCTGGGAGGAAAGACCAATATTAATCAACATCTGTTTAAGAGCAGTGTTTGTGCATTTTCTTATTTGATTGGTGTGCTCATCTAGAAGCAAGTTTCATTGATGTTAGCGGTTATTTGCGCAGTCTTTTTGCAGCCAGTGAGAGACAGCTTTTGAAAAGAAAGAATTGAATGCAGAAATAAATTCAGCAACCTGTAAGATCGGTTTATTTTGGCATCCTAGAGAAGAATAATACTAGTTATAAATCAGTCAGTCAAAAAGAGTGACAGTGCAAGAGTTTATTTTAAAGAAGGGCTTTGATATTTCTTTTAGTCCTATGGGACTTTATTCCTTACCTCTTCAATGAACACATCTTCCCTTCCTGGTATAGTTCAAGTTGGACAGTCTTACTTTCTTGTGCCATTAACACTGTGGGATTTACAGAAGTCAGTCTTTGTGTGCAAGTAGAGAGCTACATCATCATTCCATCTGAAAAGGTATTTATGTTTATTTGTATAAAACTGCAGGTAACTTATTTTGTAGTTTCACTTGTAGACCTTCACAGTGCACTACAGGTTCATATGTTATTAGCTCAGTGATGGTTTTTGTGTAAGCCCCTTCCACTCTTTATTACACAAATTTATTAGTTTGGCTAGTCTGTACAGCATTAATTAGCTTGAAGCTGTGCTTTGTGTTTAAATAGCTGGAAAATCACTTGATTTTTTGCCTCTTGCCAAATGACATTTGTGCTCCAACTATTGAAATATGAAGCATTGCTTTTTTTCATGGTGAGACTATTCCCTTACTGTATGAATTCATTAAGTAATTTAATGAGACTTGTGAATTTAGGTGATTGTGGGACCATTGATTTTAGTGATTGCATTTAAAGGCAAATGTCTAAAGCCTTGATTTGGTGTTGGTTTTTTGTCTTTATGCCTGTGACGAAGTTACTATATTCTTACCTTCCCATGTGGTACATGAAGACAGAGAAGCAACTAGCTCCTGGGGGAAATGAGACAGCAGTCAATGTCTTTCATCCCAGAGCTAAATACATAGAACTATATGAAAGATAGTCCCAAAGGAAAAAGATTGTAAAGGAGCAGTTTTGCTTCAGTTATATTTAGTTTCATTCTGCATACAATTCAGAGCTGGCATGGCTGTATGCTGGTACTGTAGGTTATTTTGAGCTGTATGGACACATTTTCTCTTTATTTGAAACTAATGACTTCCCTGGTTGTGGGGTTTTTTAGTTTTAGGGCATGTGAGATTCGTGGGAATTTGATAACAAGGGTTATGTGCTGTTGTAAAAAGTTTCACATGCTCTGTAACTTCCCTTCTCCTGTCACTGTAGATGAAGGAAATAATGCAATGGATTCAGGTTACCTTCTTTTGTCAGACCTGATGTTAGGACCCTCTTACCTTTAAAGAATGGTTTCCACGTGTGACATGACTTTATTCCCTAGGTATGACATGCAACCAAAGCATGTAGAAACAATAAAGTTGCTCTTAAAAGCTAAATTTTCTAGCTGTAAAGAAAGTCTCAGGAAAGGACTAAAGGCCTTTTGCTTCTTCAAAAGTGTATCATTAAAGCTGAAGATAGAAGTGGACTCGTAAGTCTTACTCCCAGAACTACCAATGAACAATGTACAAAGGAGTGAGCACGAAAGCTCTGAAAGAGTATTTACAGTTTTTACTCCTGGGGTGCTGCTTTGTGGAACAAAGACCACAGAATCAATCCCTAGCCAGACCTGCATCCCTTTCTCATTGTTTTTTATTATAATATTACCTCAGAGTCTTGATTATGAACCAGAATCGATTGGTTTAGGTTTCCACAATACCTACCACAAAGTTGAACCCTGCAGCAGAGAACTGGCAGTCAAAGACAAACCAATAAACCCAAACCACAAGGCTGAGTGTGTACTGGGAAACAATGTTGTCACATGTCAATACTGGGTGCACTCCCAAATGATTCTAAAAACTTGTATCTGTATGTGCATGTTTTGTATAGGCATAATGGCAAAAATAGTTTTAAGGAATAATCTGAAAAAGAAAACCAAATATTTCTCAGGGATTATCTTGGAGCTGCAATCCTCATCAAAGTAGCAGTCTGAATATACCAGCTTTAAAATCCAGTGAGAGCTGTAACTAGCTAATAACTCTTGGGAGATGTGAACCTTGCTGCAGGGCAGAGGAGATGATGGGTCACATGAGGACTGCAGGAAGGCTCTTGTGATGGAGGCAGGCAGTTTGTGTTCAGAGCAGCAGAGAAGCTGCCTGCCAGTGGAGAGTTCAAAAGGCAGTGTCTCCTTGCTAAAGGGGTGGGCTGCAACAGAGTTCCTGACTTTTTTTGTATATGGGTCTTGCTGCTCCTACTGTCACCTCATTCCTTTTATCTCAGCTTTTCCTTCTCCTAGCCGCTGCTCCTGCTGCCTTCTTGACTGTCCCAACCACTCCAGTGTTGTTGTTGAGAAGCCCAGCCAGACCAGACTGTAGGAATTGATTGACGTGGTCTCTGTGCCCTCTGCAGCTAATGCTCTTCTTAGTCATGCCTACGTCAGCAGCTGGGAATTGATGGGCTGGAAAGATTCATATGCATATGCAATGTGCTATCAAAATTATAATAGTAAAGTATCTGTTTAAATGTTTGTAGAGCTGAATCTCTGTGAAATGTGGACATTTGTTTGAAGGATTAAATTTACTCTGGATATTTACCATGGACTTGATCCAGGGCTATCAAAGTTAGTGAAACTTGGACTGGATCCTGAGGCAGAAATGCCTGCAATTCTTATATTGTTTAATAAACAAACAGCTAAATAATCCTGTTGCATAAAATAGTAGAGGGTTATTCTGGCACTGTTTATTTGATTATTTTCTTCATCCATTAGCTAGTTGATTCACATTGTGTCTTCCCTAACAAGTTCTTGGAAGGCCATGGGGTTTCTTATTCTAGGTGCTTTCCAGGTTTTTTTTGTACAGTGCCTATCTTGCTTGGAGCAGAAATTTGAGGGCAAAGTATGTCTTTATTTTTTTACTTGGCTTCTGATGAGGGAAAAAGAGTTTTCAGTCTGAGCTGAGAAAAAAGAATGTTGTGCAAAAGAAGTCCTTTAAAATGTCACAGGAGATCTGATTTAAAGTTTCTGGTGCATCTGATTGCTAGGTGAACATCTGTAGGTTGGATTTATTTCCTGTAGATGCTCCATCTCTTTTGCACTATTGCATTTTTTCAGACTCTGCAGAAAGACAAGGCAGCAGCAATGTAGTTAAAGTAGGTTATTGTTCTATTAACTAACACATTTGGGAACTATCAACTATCAGTAACTTTTTTGATTCAGGTCATCTTCCTTTTGCAATCTGCTCTGTGTGGTGAGGGATAGTCAGAATTCTTTGTTCTTTCTCCTGAGAGGTTGAGATTCTACCTTTTGTATGTACAAAACCAAAGGGTAGAAGTGAAGAAAGGCAGGTGTACCTAGGCATGGAGTGCTGGGGATGCTAGTCCCTTCCCTGTTCTTTTAAGATATTTCTTACTCTATCCATTGGGGAAACAGACCCCAATAAAGCACTGCTGAACATTCTCACTGCCCAAATGTGCAAGTATTGTATTTTCTCCACCTTGGATGGGCCTTTTGATTAACTTCCCTTTCCTACTGTGTACTCTCCTCCAAGGAATCAACACTATTTTCAGTAAATTGTCAGGTCCTGAAGCCTCCACAAAGAGTGGGTTGGTTGTTCCCTCTCTGCTTGTATGATTCAAACAGTTTCTCTCTTCCTTATTGGGTTTTTGCCTAAGACCAACTGGTTTCCTCATGAAGCCATTTTAGGCCAAATCACGTTAAGCACAGAAAAGCAATACAATAGTTTTAAGAGACAATGCCTTGATCACTCTTGCAGGGAGAATATCAGCAAGCTGAAGAAAACAGACTAACTGCTAATACCAATATGCCAAAGAGGGAAACACTTGCATCAGAAACACTCCAGTACTTACACACAGTGATTCAATGTCTCCTTAGCAACCACTTTGTACACAGATAATATTTTAAAAAATTACATATTTAATAAATGGAGCACGTCTTGAAATTCTGTAATGACCTATAAGAACTATCCTTCAATGTTGCGTGCATCTTTTTGGAGGGTGTGTGTTTCATTTGCACTATCGCTTTTAAGAGGCTATCAGCAAAGGGAAACCTTCCAAGACTTAGTAGTCACTTTTTTCCCTAGATGTCAGATCTCCTAAAACATCTGCATGTTCCTCTTTTCTTTTCCTAATGGCTACTGATGCTGTAATCAAGAGTCAAAATTTCATTAGTTACACCACTGTGAAAGACTTGCTCCCCTTTCTTGGGGAGCTGCAAACAAATGGACACTTAAGTGGGCTGTATTTTCTGTGCCTTTTACTTAATCCAGTATCTGCAAAGAATCCTTCTTCAACGTGTTCTGTTATGAATCTAGTGTCTAGAGATTGTTACTTTCTTCCTTGCAGTTAGTCAAAGCTGATGATGAGGAAGCAATAACTAAAGCAGAAGGTGGATTTATTGGACTTGTAAGTCATGCCCCTTGTGAAACTTCTTTGCAGTCTTCTCTCCTGAAGATGCTAGTGAAACAGAAGAGATGACAAAAATCTAGGTGAAGACCTTTTGTCTTTTTCTCTGAGATTTCCCCTGCATACAAACACCATAGGTTTTTATTCTTACAGGCCTGACCCTTAGGACCAGCATGGCATGCGTGAGAACTGTAGTCCCTGGCTAACATCTAAAACAGTCTTAAATAACAGCATTATGGGAGAAGTGTCTGTATTTCTGTTGACCTATATAAAATAGCTCTTACTAAAGATATTTCATCTTAAACGGCCTTGGATACTCTACCTCCAAGATGTTCTATAACTAAATATGAAGCTCTTGAAGGGAAAATAATATCTTCATGTAAATTTTTTATTGATGTAGTATAGTACTGTTGGAAATGAAGAAAGGGCAAAAATGCTGATGTTCAATTGTATTGATCTTTTTTTATGATCATTTACACAAAAATCCACTGCACAGGCTCGAAGGGTTGATTACCTTTCCCAAATCTTCACTCGCGAAGACTGGCCATACGTACACAAAATTAGTTATGTATTGAAGAGCTACTGAAGTGCAGTTAAATTCTATGAGGAATCCAGCTGACCTTTACATATAGCTGATATTAAAAATAATGTGGAATGCTGCCCTTCCAAGAAGGGGAACCAAAAGCATTCTTAATAAACTGTAGTAAATCTTCTGAATTCACTGTGCATGGCCATTTATTTATGCACCTACCCTTTGAGAGTCAGTTTTAATATAAAGACTTGTTTTTAAATAAATAACTTCATGCAACTAAACTGAACAATTTCTCTGATAGGACTGAACATGAAAACCCCCTCAAAAATAAAATAAGATGTTTCTGGTGGATTTCATGTTTTACAGCAAGCACAAGTGGAGACAAGTTTTGTTTAAAAATTCATCAAAGACACTTCTGCAAAGTATTTTATAGGAAGGTATTTATTGTATTGAGTGCAGTCTTAATTGTAGTAGGATTTCTTTTTTTTTCCCTCTACAAAATACTATTAATGTTTTTTAAAGCTTGTTAATTTTATGGATGTGGTGTTATGGGTGCATTCTGACTTGGCAGTAATTGAGTAGCTAGTACTAGAACTATTGGACAGGGACATGATAGAACAGAATATGCACTGTTTGATCACTCATTACTGTAGCTAAACCTTTCTGTTCTGATGTTACTATATACATATCTATCTATCTGTCCATCTATGTATCTTGTGTATGAATACAATGGCTAACAGGAAAGGCTTACCTTTATCTCTTGTAAGGTTCTATAAGCATTCCATCTTAGATTCTTTTTTTAACGCTTTGAATTTTACTGCAAAGTTAAGACTAACTTGATTTACACCATGAGCAGTAAGCACTGGAGTGCCTTACTTTATCTTCCACTCTGTATTTTGTTCTGCTTTAAAATAATGTTTTTTTTTTTTAAAAGAAAAGGAAAACAAAAAATCATTTTATGATTCTTTTTTGATCTTGCTGTCATTGCCTGTATTTTTTCTGCTCAGTGATCCATCTTCACATGTTGTTCTGACTTCTTTGTTCTTTTGCACTTCTTCCACTGCCTTTTTGATAATCACTATACAGTGTTATTGTCTCACCTTTTGAGCACAGTGCCAACAAACTTGAATCTCTGTTGCATCCAAGCCTTAAGTCCCAGTGTTCCCTGCCTCCATTTCTAACTGTGGTGACATCCTCATAAATTACTTGTATGCAGAACTGGAAGGGATACTAAGCAAGTTTACAGATGACACAAAATTGAGAGGAACTGTTGACTCCCTTGAAGTCAGGGAGGCCCTGCAGAGAGACCTCAACAAATTAGAGGACTGGGCAGTCTCCAACCATGTGAAGTTCAACATGGGGAAGTGCTGGATTCTGCACCTGGGATGGTACAACCCCAGATGTACGTACAGACTGGGGAATGAGATGCTGGAAAGCAGTGCCACTGAAAGGGACCTGATGGTTCTGGTCAGTGGGAAGTTGAATATGAGTCAGCAGTGCCCTGGTAGCCAGGAGGGCCAACTGTGTCCTGGGGGTCATCAGGCAAAGCATCACCAGCCAGTCAAAGGAGGGGATTTTCCCACTCTGCTCTGCACTGGTGTGGCCTCACCTTGAATATTGCGTGCAGTTTTGGGCACCACAATAGAAGAAAGATATTAAGCTGTTGGACAGCGTCCAAAGGAGGGCAATGAAGATGGTGAAGGGCCTTGAGGGGAAGCCGTATGAAGAGAGGCTGAGCTCACTTGGTCTGTTCAGCCTGAAGAAGTTGAGACTGAGGGGAGACCTCATTGCAGTCTGCAACTTCCTCATGAGGGGAAGAAGAAGGGCAGGTGCCGATCTCTTCTCTGTGTTGACCACTGACAGGATCTGAAGAAATGGCCTGAAGTTGTTTCAGGGGAGGTTTAGGTTGGATATTAGGCAAAGGTTCTTCAGCCAGAGTGTGGTTGGGCACTGGAACAGGCTCCCCAGGGAAGTGGTCCCAGCACCAAGCTTGTCTGTGTTCAAGAAGTGTTTGGACGATACTTTTGGGCACATGATATGACTCGTTGGGATGGTCCTGTGCAAGGCCGGGAGTTGGACTCAATGATCCTCCTGGGTCCCTTCTAACTTGTGATTCTGTGAATATCTTTGGTTCTTATGTGCTTTTTGGAACTAATAACCACTGTTTTTCTTTTAAGTGTGGTAAACTTGTTGTGATGAGAAGTCTGTAATTGTTATTCTTTGCCTTCCTTTCCCCCAATATTACATATTGAGTCAGTGATAGTGATCATATAGTGAGATTATATAATAATAGTGAGATTTCTTGCCTGTACATATCCCGAGTTTATGCTGCTTAAAGCTTTAAATAATCAAATGTTAACAAATCTCCCATAACACTTTCATCAACCTTTTTATGAGCCTGTTTTTGATAATGTTTCATGTTATTTCCTCTGAAGTGTTTGGGGCCTGCTCTTTTGTTAGGGGTGGGCTGTTTAAGCATGAAGGCTGGAGGAGTACTGTGATACTGGGCAGCTGAGGAAACATGAACACTGTTTACTGACAGCAGTGATCCTCACTGCAAATGATGTTTCCTGAAAAGAAAACTGCTGCTTTCAAGGATTTTCATATCAGCATTTCTTGAATGGTTAGCTGAAGAGTGATCTTAAAAATATATTTTATAGTCCATAGCATCTGAGAATGGAAGAGATCAATACTTTATGTGCTGTAGATCAAGAACAATAAGAATAACGTTTAAGAATTTGAGAAGGATTTGATTTTGTATTTTTCTGCATTCTTCTTTTTTTTTCCCCTTCCTCTCTAGTCTGACTTGCTGGTCTTTCACTTTTGTTTCCACAGGAGAAAGTTATGTATGTGGTTCCATAGAACCCTTCAAGAAACTGGAGTACACGAAGAATGTAAACCCAAACTGGTCAGTGAATGTTAAGACAACTTCTACTTCTCGTTCAGTGCCATCTCTTGCCACTGCTAAAGGAGGTGCTCCAGATGCAAAAGAGAATAAGGATTTCATTAGGCCTAAACTAGTCACTATCATCAGGAGTGGAGTGAAGCCACGGAAAGCAGTCCGGATTCTGCTCAACAAGAAGACAGCACATTCGTTTGAACAGGTTCTTACTGATATAACTGATGCCATCAAGCTGGATTCAGGAGTGGTTAAACGCTTATACACGCTAGATGGAAAACAGGTAAGAATTTTCATGATGGCCATTCTCAGAATGGAGAAAATATAATTTTCCAAAAAGAAAAGAATGGTACATCAGTAAAAAAAACCCACCCTTTTTCTAGAACATAGAATCAGACCTTCTACTGCTTAAAGTGTACTTAAGATCTGTGAGCAGTTCAGGAATATCATGAATCATTACTTGGCCTCAGTGAAGGTCTTGCCATTTATGACAAATAATAGTTCTAAATCTGTCAGTTGAAAGTGTGATGTGGTTTTGGCTCTGCATGCCGGAAATGTAGGATGAAGGATGTCACTTTAAAGACACTCATTCTGTTAACTTGTTTCAGCTTTTTCTTACAGCAGTTTTATGAGTCATAGTACTTGGCTTTCCATAAGCTGTAAGAACGAACAGTGAGGACACATTCAACCGTGATAAATGCAGGCCTGTTGCTGTCCAGAATGACTAAATGATGAATCTTTTTGCATCTAGAATGGACAATGAAGAAGGGTCAAGCTTAGAAAATGAGTGAGCTTTTTTTCCCTTTTTCAGGAAAACAGGTAGGGTTATGTGTGATGCTCACATTTATTGAAGAATCTCGTGTAGGTTACATGTTATTTCTTCTATTAAGTATTTTCTAGCAATGTCTCTTTTTTGCTGACTTATTAAATTGCAGTACAGTGCGATTCTTATGAGGCTTCTGATTGAACTTGGGGATTGAGGGACATGAAAAGAATATTACAAAGTAATCCTACTTCTATTTTGTCTTTCACTTTATTTGTAATTTGTCTGTGTACATGTATTAATTATAGCAAAACTGGAGAAGCTGTTAACCTGGTGAAGGGCAAGGCTAATTTCAGCATGACCTGAATTGATTTAGAGCAATGGTGACTCTAGAGAAATAAAGCAGATATTTGCATTTACAGGCTTAACTTACTAAACTGAAGAAATTATAGAGGTGTAAAATGTGGGTACAAAGATGAACGAACAGTCTTCCTCAGAAGCTAGAATCTGCTAGAGACCATGGTATTTCTTCTGTAATATAGCTGCGTTTTATGGATTCTAGGTTCAGTGATTCACAGACATGCAGCAAACAGGGTAACTATTGGGAAATGCTGCCAAACATGCTTGATACAAATAAATTCTCAGCTAGATCTGGTGATGTCCTAACATATCTGCAGTTACTGGGGCTAATGTGCAGGCATAGCTCTGGAAACAGCTACAGCAGTACCCTCTGATCTCAGAGAGGGCTGTTTAATGGACAAGCTGCTTATTTGGAGCACTGGTTCAAATTGAGGCCTAGTATGGCTTGACCAGAAGTCCTTTCTGTCTGCTGTTTTGTGTCAGTAGTCTCTGACACTAGTTACAGACAGTAGTACAGTTCTCGATGACTCCGTACATGCCTGTAATGATCCCATTACTGTGACTTTGTTGGGAACTTTGACCTGGAGCAAAATGTGAATGTGGAATTCTTCTTGTCTGCGGCAAAGGTCAAGTGTTTGTTGGAGGAAAATCTCAACTCCTATCCTTCCTTACCTTGCCTCATGCTCCAGGAAGCACTAAGGCTAGTAAATCTGGGGAAGGAGTTGGGTTTTTAAAGCTTCAGAGATCAGTGGTGGTCTCTGCTCTGACACTGAGAGAAGAGTTTGAATGACTATTCAGGTTCCTGCAAACTCTCTCAATAAAAAAGGGATGCATATATGTTTTGTATTGTATATGTAAATACACTCGTGGTTTGGCTATGATAAAGTGCAGCCTGGAAAGATGTCAGTGTGGCCTATTGTCTCCTGGATAATGTGCTCACTTATATCTTTTTATATTTTAAACTCCCCTTTAATGTTTTTGATTAAAACAACAGAAAAATACCTTTACACCTTTTTTAGAACTCTTAATTCCTACAAGTATATAGTGCTATCCTACTACTGAGGAGAAAGTGAAGACCAAGTTTTCTTGGTCCTGATGTTGGCATAGTTCAGTTGAATCCTTTGTCAACTCATGGACTTTGAGATGAGCTTAAATCAGTGGTGTACTGGGACACTTGTTACATACCTCATAGCCTGAAACCAGTGTGTCTAGAAGCTCTCCCAATAGACTGCTGTCTCCACACCCCTTCCCTTTTTGGGTATACATGCACAATTGTGTAACTTACTGTCTAACCCTACTGGTAATGTTGGGGTTTAGGGGAAGGTGTATGTGTCCTGCAAGTGTGATGGAGACTTTGCCTGTGGCGTGTACAAAGCAGCTTTGCTGGCAGAAAGGGAAATGAATGATTCTGTGCTGAACAGGAGCAGCCTGTTGCTCACCCCTGCGTGGGGAAGTCATTGATTTCCTGTGCTGCTAGGCAATTGCTGCTCCATTTTTCTCTCCCAAAAGCCTGATCTCCCAGATGGCGTTGGGGACACAGCAATAGATTTCTTTATTGGTAAACTCAAGCTGTGAGTTATTACTGGGAGGAAAATCCAGAAGTTTTTCAGTTGTAGTTGTAGTTGTGAACTTCTACTGTGACTGCTGCTGGAGCTTTGAAGGTTCTGGAAAACCTATGTTCTGTGGCTAAATCTAACAAATCTGTGATTAAATCTTTCATTGCTAACTTAAAAAGCAATGAAATCTTAAATCTCTGAGTTGAGAAAAGTAATTTACTGTAAGGATAAGAGAATAAAGCTCTCCTGGGATTATTCTTTGGGAATATAACTTGAAGAAAGACTATTCTGTACAGTTTTCTCTTGTGAGTTATTTTACGAGGCCACACTGGATTTGCCCATCCATGGCAAAAAATGACATGAGTCCCCTGTATTGTTAGTTTGGGTGGGCAACGTGGTTTGTATACTGTTGTTGGATACCATCATTACATGCCTCATGCTAATAAAAAGAAAGTAGCAGGAGTCTTAACTGGGCATCCAAGTTAGGTGATTGTCCCATACGGACACTACACATTGAGAAACTGAGCTTAAATACTCTTCTTACAACAGCCTTGTTAGTTGTGATGTTTTGATTTGTATCTCTAAAAGATGTTAATAAATATTGTGTTCAATAAAAAGGAATTTAAATGATGGTCTATAAAATTTGATAGCAATGTAAAGAGCTTGTCTTGATGAGAGAGGTAGTGCTTGGACAATCAGAACCTGAAGAAAGTTATAATTGCTAAGAGGAAAGCTCTCCTATGACACTAGGTTGATTCCCCATCCCAGAAGTTCCTTCTTGCTTTTGGAAAATTCAGTAATTTTAGGTGCATATGATGCTTTGTGAGTGTTCCTTAGAACTCCAGGGGCTTGATTAAGTAGGTGTGTTCTATTAGCCATTTCACTTTTTTAATGCTGGAATAGCAGAAGAAAGGAAGGGGGAAATCAAAACAAGAAAAGGAACAGACTGAACCTGCAAAAAACCCCAAGAAAACAATCGTCAAAAAAACAAACCCCAACAAATTTAACCAGTCTTGTTTCATTGGGTCAGTGGCAGTTCAGGGACTAAAATTTGATGTTTTCTAATATTGGGTAGGTATTTACTTTGAATTTCATACATGTAATTTAGTTTTGTAAAAATGTGTTTCTCTTTACTACAAACAGGGTAACTAGTGGTTTATTTGTACGTCCTTATAACACATCAGATTCTGTATTTTGACTTCAAGGTTTCTCAAAATTCAGAATATAAATTAATTTGTGCTAGAAGAGGCATAATATAAAACTGCAATCTTATCGTAAAGCACAATGGCCTCCATTTATGGTACTTTTGCAGTTCAATTATTAATGATTCCTCAGAGCTGGATAGGTTTGATAATGTGTCTAGAATAGTTTATGTGTATTTTTATGGATATAGTTATGTTTCTACTGGTACAAGGTACTGATGCTGTTTGTACTCTAGAGAAAGAGAGAATCACTTCCTTGTAACATGCTGATGGATTTGAAGATGGTGGGACTCTCAGAAGTGTTTAACAGTCTTATGAGCTCAGGCCAAAATCAAAAGCTTTCCCGGGGGAGATCTTGAAGTGTTTTCTGTGCCAACTTTGCCACGTAAGGAAAATAAAAATAGAATGAGTAGGTTTAATGGCTGCCTGTAGGAATACAGATAATGAAGGTGTGCTCTTACTATAAGCATATTCAATTTTTTTAGATTAAAAGGTTGTGTAAGTGCATGAAAAGATACTGTCAGTGTTGATCATTAATATTATCACATACTTATGCAGAGAAGAAACGCTTTCTCCTGGCTAAAATGTGTCTTGCTTTATTGTAGCTGCACTGTTGCAGTTTGATTTCTAACCTTTCCTTAACAGAAGGGGCGTTTTTAGTTTGTGCATCAAGATATGGTTTTGTAAAATGCAGTGTGTAGACACAGTGCAAACATTGAGGATACAAGCTGCATGTGGAGATAGAGCCCAGTTGCTTTGTTACAAGCTCAGTGTTCTGGTTTCTGTTTGCTTGGTGCACTTCTAGAACAACACCAATGACTAAAATGGGAGAAAACTGATGAAGGTCATACTTAACAGCAAAACTGTGAAACAGTGCCATTTTTAGAAGTGTTGTGATGTGTGTATTTGTGTGGGGTATTTATAATTTGCATGTTTAGACAAAGACTAAAGGTTAGATAGCAATGGTTGTGTTACCTTCTAAGTCCTCCATTTCCTTTTGGCAGAACAAACATCTGGTTTATAATAGGACCTACTTATTTGAACAGGTGATTTGCTTGGCTTAACAAGATACAAGCATACAAATTATTTTTTCAGTTTATGCGTTATGCTGTCGATTTGACTCCAGACAGATAAATGGTCAGTGGCAGAGATACCAGAATAGATGTCACTATCTGATTTGTTTTGTTTTTTATGATAAATATTTTATGTCAAATCAAATTACCTTTATAGATATGAAATACAGCCATGGTTATTTAAAGACATATACCTTTGTATGTGTACATGTGTGAAGCATAAGATGTCCTTCAATAATCTTTCTTTAAACCATTAAAATAGCTATCAAAATTGTGACTGAGAGGAAACATCACAATGCTAGAAAGCTTGAAGCTTCTCCATCGAGTGT